GCGCTCTCCCGACGGCGCCCGCCCCTCTCACCAGGGCCCGCGCCCGCTAGTCCGCCAGGCCCCGCCTTTCTTGCGACCCGCGTTGTGCTGCTGGACGCGACGGCCCGGGTTAACGGTGAACCCCACGTAGACGCGCCCCCGGTGCCGAGGGTTCAGGCAGTAGAGCAGATAGACGCCGAAGAAGCGCCCGGGCCCCGCCGCGCCCCCCGCGGGGCCCATCGGGACTTGGGGTCCGAGGGCTGCAGCTGGGGTCTAATCGACTGCGGTGGCCCGTCGGGGCTGGTCGCTAGGGCCGGAAGACGCTTGTCTTGGAAAAAGCGCTTGGGGGCGATCCCGATGTACCCTAAGGGCCACAGAATGCAGATTCGTGCACCCTCTCCCGGCTGGAGCTAGGGTGTTCAAGCCCGGGCTGCTGCGCCCGAGGCGCGCAACGACTGGCGTCTGCTCCGGCCGCCTCGGCCCATACACACACCCGCGGGCTGACTGACCGTAAGCTAGAAACCCAGGACCGTTGGAAACCCGGTTGGTGTGAGGGCGGAAGTGCCGGCTGGACGGACTCCCTAGGAAGGGCGGAAGTAGGTGTCTCAGCGGAAGTGGCGCCAGTAAGGGCGGAAGCAGTGTGGACGGGTAGGCATAGGGGTCCCACCCCCTGGGCTCTCGCCCCCAGCCGCCGCGATGGAACTTAGTGCGGAGTACCTCCGGGAGAAGCTGCTGCGAGACCTGGAGGCGGAGCACGTGGTAAGTTGAGCGCCCTGAATTCACTTCACAAAAGGAAAAGCGTTTGGAGGCGGGGCGCGGATTGTTAACCATCCACGCCTTTCGCCCCGTAGGAAGTGGAGGACACGACCCCCAACCGTTGTGCATCTAGCTTCCGAGTCCTGGTAGTGTCGGTCAAGTTTGAAGGCAAGCCACTGCTTCAGAGACACCGGTGAGACCCCAGGAATACCTCCCTCAGGCAGGCCCAGCCCCGGGACCCAGCCGAAGTGTAACTCCTCACCCCGCCCTCGGGCCACAGACCCTTCCTGGTCCCCGCTTTGATCGCACGCGGAACCTCTACCCATCTTGTCCACTCACTACGATCTGGGAGACCCGGGAGACCCCGTCAGTCTCCGTGTTCACTCTGGGCTCGCGACTGTGCCCCAGCCCCCGGAATGCCTTTTCCTAACCCCGTCTCTCACCCCAGGCTAGTAAACGCATGTCTATCGGAAGAGCTCCCGCACATCCATGCCTTTGAGCAGAAAACGCTGACTCCAGAGCAGTGGGCCCGTGAGCAGCAGAAATAAGACCAAGACCAGCACAGCCATTAAATTATGAATCAGGGCCAGCCTCTGTGTCACTGTTGTGTGCGTGTGTGTGTGGGGGGGGGGTGTAGAGAGGGACTCTGGGCCTGGCCTCTCCCTGCCCTCCACTGGCCATTGTTTACTTTGGGCAAGTCCACATAGAGGCCTCTGTATCCCCACTTATAAAATGAAAGTTCTGCCCTAAAAGTTTTCCAGGATGGGCCTCACAGGCCCGCTCTCTAATTGTCAGTACATCCCGAGGGGTACTGCCATTACCCTCCCAGCTAGCCATTCATTGGGCATCTCTGTTCTCTGCTAGCCTTTAAGCAGTGCAGATGAGAACATGCTCAGGTTCCAGGACCCTGGCCAATTTTGCAAATCTTTCCATCTCATAACAGAATGTTTCGTACTTCCTCTGACCTTCCCCAGCCCTTTAGGGCCTCAGGAGATGGTGCCCCAGCAAGGCTTCCCAACAGCTGGGACGCTGCTCTTTTCTGGTCTGCTGGAGAAGGTCCAGAGACCATTTGGTCCTTTAGTCCTGAGCTGGACATGGCCACAGACCTGGAGAGGCCACAGGATTTTCAAAAAGAGGTGTCGGCAGGGGATAGAGATAGGATTAGAACAGGAAAATTACGCTGACCTGAGCCATAAAATTGGGGCAGGGAGTGTCCCTAAGATCGGTCTTTCTTTTTTTGTGCAGAAGGAAAAGAGCCAATTTAATAGTGTGTACATGGGGGAGCTACATTGATTATTCAGGTTCTGATTTCAGTCAGGGAAAGCAGAGTTTAAATCCTAAACTAAAGAACGGGAGAAGCCTGGGACACCAAAGAGGGACGGGACTTCACATGGCAAGGGGATGACTTCATGTTTGCCTTGGAGATAAAGGTGGGCTTCTCAGAGAGAAAGGCCGCGTCTACAGATGATTCTCCACCCGGATAATCCTCTCCAAACTACCTTCTCCTAGGTAGTAAAAAGGAGCTGGGATCGTTTCTATTGTCTCCAGGGCCATCATTGTTCTCAGCTGGAAATAATTTGCATGTCAGGCCCATCTTGAAATCAACTCAGCATCTTGGGGAGGTCTTCTGTGGGAGCCTTGGGTGACCTGTCAAGCCCCTTCCTATCCTGCCAGTTGGATGGCCAAGTAGCAATATGGTGGACAAGTAGCTCCCTTTTTTCAAGCAAGGAACTGCCCTTCGGAAGCATCATTTGCACAGAAACATACGTACAGTCCTGCCACAGAGTGACACGTGGTTGGCAGGTCATGTATACCATCGTGGTCCCAGTGGGCCCTGCCACATAGCCCGCGCGTACAGTGAACTCACCGCCGATGTTCATGTGACTATACCGTGACATCACACAACCACACAATCACCTTGCAGCATTTCTCAGAAAGTGTCCCTGCTGTTAAGTGACAGTGACTATAGCACAAAACTGAGAAAGTGCCAGTATCCGCGCATGGGGCAGTTGGAGGGTTGTATGAGAAATGTCCACCTCAGTGTTTGTCTCAGAGCTGACATGAAGTGAGCATGAGCATGTACTGGGGGTCCTGGCAATGACTAAGAAGTAGTCAGCCAAAGGCAGCCCAGGCCTCATAAGTCCAGCGCCCGCCTAAGCTTGTTCCTAATCCAAAAGTAGCCCTCTGTGTGCTTGTTACCGGCCTAGGTGTTTTACATGGAGATGTCAGCTGGTCTTTCCCAGACAGTAGGAGGAAACCAGTAGGAGGAAACTTGAGAAAAAAGTGTCCTGGAGGAAACCAAGATCACAGAAGCCACGAGACTCTGGGGAGATGAGCCCCAATTCAGAGAAGGTCCTGATTCAGAGACAAACTGAGGACCTTCAGAAGTGAGAAGGTTGGGGGAGGTTGACAAGGGGCTGATGGGAGAGATCCATGATGGCAGGGAGAAATAGCTGGGGCCATCCTAACCTCAGTGAGGCTCACAGGCACAGGACAATAGCATAGGACAGGTGAGTGTCCTGCTCTCTGAAAGCTTGAGTGGAAAGACAAAGAAGTAGCTCTTACATAATGTGACAGGCCAGGCATAGAAAATTCATCTTGGGTGTGAGTAAAAGAAAGTTCTGGGTTGTAATAAATACCAAAGATAAAGGCTGCCCCTGGTGATGCTGCTGGCTTCTCCTTCAGACAGATCAGAATGAAGTAGGGGTAGGTAGAACTGACTTGTGGAAATCTTAAATCTTGAATTGTGAATGTTAAAGCACGTTGCACCTGTCCGCGCCTCCCCTACACCTCCACCCGCCAAAAAAAAGAGCAAATTGGATACAGGACCTGATCTAGAAGCCAGTTCAAGTGAACTGTAATGTTGGGTGCCTTCTCCCTGGTCAACACTATCCAACAGAACTTTCTGCTGGGATGGAATATCCTACATCTGCCCTACTCATGGCTGCCAACTTCCACACAGGGCTGTTGATGGGGACGTGTGCAAATAAGGAATGTTTCCTTTAGTTTTAACTAATACTAGAAGTCACACATGACTAGGGCCACCATCTTGAACAGCACAGCCAAACTGGCTCTCAAGCTTGGCTACATTTAGAATCACCTGGGACCTTTTTTTGCAAAATACCTGTTCCCAGGCCACACACCTAGAACAACTGAATCGGGATTACCGAGGGAAGCCTAAGGTGTCAATATTTACAGGTCTCCAGGTGGTTCTCAGGTGCAGTTGGAGTCTCGGCACCCGTGAGTGTAGGCCTCACTGCTTCTGAGCACTGTGAAAACTGTTGGGTCAAGTCAGAGCCTGCTGGGAAACAGTGGGGCCACTGCATGGTTCTTGCACAGCCTCATTTTCCTCACCTGTAAAATGAGGCCAAGTGTTTTATGAGGTGGTAACTTCATGAGATGGTAAGGAAAATACTGAGCACACAGCAGTTCTTTCCTGTTCTCTCACTCAAGGTCTTCACTGAACTGAGCGTTCAGGAAAGGGAAGAGGACACTTCTCCCACCAGGGACTAAGGTACAGAGGACTCAGCTCTCTTAGTCCAGGGATTGTGGGCCAAATCCTGTTATCAGTCTTCTGGAGCATGGCCTATTTTTGTTTATGTATTTTCTGTGGCTACTTTTGGGCAACAACAGTGGTATAATTGCAGCAGAAATTAAATCTCACTATCTAATACCAGACCACAGTAATGAGGGCATTGTGTCTTGAACCAAGGGCAACCAGCCCTTTTTGTGGCACACGCAAAGCACAAGCGACTTTTCACATAAACTCTTTTCCTCTGTCAACTCCAGAAACAAGGGGATTTCTGGGGCATCTGCACCTAAAGACCCACATGTCTGGCTGAGCACCCAGCACATATGGCTACCCACAGCCCCACCGAGTGCCGCCCCACACCGTCAGCCCTAGAGCTTGCAAGCAAAGGCAATCAGTGTTGCAACAACAGAGGGGGCTTATGAGGAGTCAGCAGAAGAGAGGGCTGATTGGAAAGTGCTTTCAGCTAAGGGCCATCCTGTTACGAGACCCCTGTGAATCCAAGGCTGAAAAACCTCCAAATGACCTGTGGAGGTCCTCTCTCCCTACCTCTGCTAAAGGGGCAGGCAGCATTAGCTCCATTGGGAGAAGCAGTGCCACCTTGTATTCACGAGCACATCGGCTACAGTCACATGCAGGCACATCACCACACTTTGTATGCACCCCAGCCTTGATCTTGTTCAGGAACAGGACCCCCAGGCCTGAAGATAAACCTCACCCTGAGCATGAGCAGACCCACTGCAGGTAGGTTTGCAGCTCCCCAGAACAAGACGCTAGGAACTCTGGTTCTTCACCTCCCCCTGGCCTGTGGGTGCCCACCCTGCGGAGACTTCCTGGGGAAAGCACCTTCCCCAGACAGCAGATGAACTTCAAGATGTCTACAGAGGTCATGAGGCCAGTGGGAACCAACTGAATCTAAGACAAGGCTTGGTTCTGGGACAGACTGTCTTAGGCAGTTCTGGGGCCTGTGGGGACGGCTGTCTCTCAGATGACAAGCAGAACAGGGCCGAGGAGGACTCAGACATCTGGCCTCCAGCACGCTGATCTGTAGCCAGGAGGTCTCTGGCTGCATAAAGCTTTTTCCTGAACCAGAACTTACCAAACTTTCCCACAGAAGTGTCCCTACATGCAAAAAGAATGACACTCGGGGTTGTTAAGAAAACACCAAAGAAACTGCAGGTTTTTCTTAAGATTTCTGAGACCTAGATCTCAGCATCTCCCTTTTTCAAGTTTGTGTTAAAAAGTACCCTGAAGGGTAGAAAGAACGGGGGCTTCAGGGCCAGCAGCACATGACTTTTGCAAGCTGTGTGACTAGGCAATTAACTTCCCTGTGCCTCTGTGTGTGTGTGTGTGTGTGTGTACACATTCCTGGAAATTGGAGATTTTAGTAGTAACTGTTAACTTGAAGGCTCAGGAGTTACTAAAAAGACAAAGTATGTTTATTTGAGATTCACGATTGCAACTTGGGAAGCAGAAATTCAGATGGAACACCCAAAATCTGTCCCAAGGAGAGAAGGACAGAAGTGGGAATTATGACGGGAGTAAAAGAGGAAGGTGAAGTCAGCGGTAAAAGAACAGAGTTAGCAGCTCTCCTGCCGGGCCTGTGAGTATGGGTGTTTCTCTTCGCCAAAATTCTCCCAGTGCAGAGCAGCAGAGGCGGCGCCTCACAAGGCTCCCACCCCGCTGTCCACCCGCTGCCCGCCCCG